TATATATATATATATATATATATATATATATATATATATATATATATATTTCTCATATATAATACTGTTGGAGATATCGATGTGCTATAGAAGTTCCATACCCTGTCTATACATTTACACAGTGACATATCAGATGGAAGATGCCTACAATATACGTATTTTATAACGGATATGGGTAATATAATACTTTATATGGAGAGTGTGCAAACAGTAAACATACACAAATATGATTTAAAAATCGTCTGCCTTTAGTGCTGTATTTTGCTTTTTTTAATTATATTTGTAACTATTTATCTTGTCAAGATAACTTATCAATTCAGGTCAATTTTAGATCTAAGAAGCGTTTCATAAAAATAATACGGATGTGAATATCATGGTCACGTGGCTAGTTGAAATTATGTTTTTTTTTTTTGTTTATATAATCAAATTATTTATTATTATATTATATGGACGTGTACCATAGCTAGACCATGTGGACACCACGAGGGTGCGCACAATACTTTTATATTCTTTAAATGATTTATTGGTCACGGTGGTGTCGTATAAATCTACGTCTTGACCTGACATGACTCCTTTCCACAGTTCCATCGCATGGTGGGCAGCAAGGAACATTTTCTCCTACAAATACTGATACATCCACCGCATCCAGACCATTCTGTTATAATAGCGGCCTGTTTTCAGCGGTTTGCTATTTGAAGAAGGGGCTGTGAGTTTTGCGTTGTTTTCAGAAAACCCGTAATCACTGCACTCACGTACGTGTACCCCATTTGCCATCGATCACTGGCATTTGGCGGGAACTGCTAAATACTAAAATCCACAAGGTAAGTCGGACTCGCTTTTTAACGCATAATTTAATACCCTGATTAGAAAATCAGAGTACAGTTGACGCTGCAATGAGTCAAGCTTGATACCATATAATTAGTCATACTACCTGATAGTATACAAAATTATAATGTATCGTGCGATCTATTCAAGTCAAAGTTAGCGTACCTGGTAGTAGTAAGTCGCATGTTAACAGATGCGTATCATTGTTCAGTTTGCATTTGAGTGTTTGGGTTGCAGTCTGAGTGTACGATTTTCTTCGAATTGCGATTGCTTTTACAACTGTGATCATTTCTTGGCCAAACCTATTTCACGCACTTGTTGGCTAAAAAATAATTTTTTGCTCAAAATGAAAGTTCAGGCCTTATTGGAAACACCACACGTGCACATGTGTTTCAGCACGTAGCCCATGTAGGTGAATACTCTCGCCAATATATTTGGGCTAATCACAGTCTACATAACGCTCAACAGCTTACCGCTTCTGGGAGCAAAACGATATACACAGTGGACGCAGACGTTTCAGAAAAATGGCGGTCATTCATTTATCACTACGTTTCATAAATGAAGTTTGAGTACAACAAAAAACAACTGACTGTCTCGGAAAGCAACAACCTGAATGCGATCCCACCGAAATTTGCGAATCTGCATTGTACGACAATCGGAGTAATTTATTAATACTAAAATTTGCTCCGTTTTGTGGGGGCATATTGTTAAGACTTAGTCATGTTCCCACGGCTATCGGTGCGAGCAGTCATGCTATTTCAAGAGTGCCAGGACCCCCCCCCCCTACGATCCCTTTTCCATGTATAAACAGCACTATTCAATATAAATTAAAATTGCTTCGCGGGTGTTATCGACTCATTGAGAAACTATACATGTCGTTTAAAATAGAATAATGCAGCCTCTACTGCCTTCTGCGTCGTAGTCAACCCAATTGTTTGAGAGAATAAGCAACTGGTGCTTTCCAAAAATGGCTCAGTGGTATAGCTGAGAAAATTTGGCACATTTACCAATGTGACTGTAACGCCATGAATAATGACGGGGTGCCATAAATAATAACGTGACGGTATACTTTCGTCGCTATGGTTAATATCGGTTGCCCGGCAACTGTCGTCGAATGATCGGAATAACTTCTTATTTATATATACGTAAGTGTCGTGCAATATTTGTCAGCCAATCAACGTCGTACGCTGATAATGGTTACACGTGGAAAGTGGTCATAATTGTCAAAAACTTAATTTACAACAAATAAATTCATATTACTAGATCATAATCGAGTTGGTTTCAGTAGATCATTTTTTCTCGATAAAATATTATGCGAGGGTTTATTTTCCGAAAGCCCGGTCATTGCGAAAGCCGGGTTATCACGAAACAAACAAAAAACATTTTAGACGCCCTCTCATGACACCGGTGATGATTATCACGGTCTGGGTCCCAGTGCCTGATATAGTGATTGGCGGGCTTATTGTTTTTGTAAGTGCACCCGCCGGTAGTTTTGGTCAGTTTTAAACATTTCTCTAAGGTTATACGATTCTTCTATATTTAACCAACATACAATGAAAATGCATTCGGGAATCCTCAGCGATACGACAGTTGTGACACCCGCTTTCATCGGCGTGCTGTCTGACACCGGCCCGTCACCTTGAAAAGTATACGCATGCTCTGCTCATCAAATCATGACGTATGTACGTTACGCGAAATTGTGATGTCATTGAAATGCTCGTTAATATTAATAGCAGGAGAATCCTTGTAAGGAATACATGTCTGTTGTTAGTTTCGCGGTAACACGACTTTGGCGGTAACCAGGCTTTCGCCGTTTACACACTCACATAATATTTTATCACTCAAATGATATTTATTTATTGACAAACTACCAAAAAAACAAAATAAGAGACTGTATGCAAGTCTGGAAGATCCATCACCCAAATTATTGAGCAGACAATGCAAATAAATGTGATATTTCAGTACTAGTTTTTTTGGGTTTATTTCACGATTAGTGTTGGTGCTATGAAATAAATTACCTGCATTGTTAATAATTAGTGACTGTTTACTCAATCGTCGTGAAATCTCCGCACTCGATGTTTTTTTTATGTAAGCCGTGGTAAAATACACATACATTGTACTTTTCACTAGCTTGCAATAATGCTAATCAGCGCGTCCCCGGTACCAAGCAATCTACTGAACAAGAAATGAACGATCTGTAGTCTCCCCCGAGAAACACGAGCTGATTGGTCATTTGCATTCGTGACGTGTTCATAAGAATAATCATAACACGCAGTTACGCAAATACGGACCTTGTATATAAATTGTGCTGGTTGTTGTGAAACGAAACACGGGCTGAGCATGAATTTGTGTTGCATTGCATTCAACTGTATTACTATAAATTGTGTTTCAATTTGGCAATAGATGACAGAATGGGTAAATAAGGTGCCAAGGTTGTCAAAATGGCCTACCCAACTTTCTGGCATCACGTAATTGATTATTTTTCGTTCTATCTCTGTTTTACCAAGCCTCGCTGCACACTAGTGTTTGGACATAACTTCAGTTAGTTTGACTTCGTATACATTTCCATCTTTTACAGACTCGGCGAATGTGACATCATGTCTGACAGAATTTGTCTACCGAAGCATTATCATCCAAACGAAGGCAAGAGCATTGGATGTGATGGGGATTCAGAACAAAAAATAAACGGTGATGCAGTACCTTACAGTAAACCGGGTGAGAAGAAATTATCAGTATTCCAGTGCCATGACAATGCTGTATATCACGACGAGGAATCCTATTTACAACATGTAACGATTATAGTCCCGTTTGCTGAGGATATCCATGAGTCCAACGCATCAACCAATGAAGAAGAAGTACACAGCGATCCATGGAATGTAATGAATAATGATTTAAAAAACGATGAACCTAATTGGTCAGGTAATTATAATGAGTTATTGTGTCATTTTATTTCCAATAGCTGAATGATAAGTAATAAGGAATGTTACGAACACTCTCACCCCACCCAAAAACATTGACGATTTGGTTTTATTTGTTTTCAGATCTGAGCATCAGAGGAAAAGTGAAGCGACTTGCACTAGGATTCCTAAAAATAATCTTATTAGCAGCGCTTCTGTACATGTTTATTTGTTCATTGGATGTCATGGGCTCCGCGTTCACTCTTCTCGGGGGCACAGCAGCGGGGGAGGCGGTCTCCGACAGCGAACTCTTAAACAATCCGATAGCAGGTCTGATGATCGGAGTTCTGATGACGGCCTTACTACAAAGTTCAAGTACAACTACATCAATTATAGTTTCCATGGTAGCATCAGACAGTGAGTACGGTTTTGTTGTACTAATTCAGTAATGTTTAGTTTAGCCGCTAAGTTTAAAAACAATAAAACTTGCGTTAAAACAAACAAACAAACAAACAAACAAACAAACAAACAAACAAATAACTAAATAAATAAATAAATAAATAAATAAATACATAAATAAATAAATAAATAAATAAATAAATAAATAAATAAATAATACGGTAATAGTACAAAAAGATTCGGTCATGAAAATAGCAATCAGCTCCATTACAATGTAAATTTATTGAGCAAAAGTGATTATTATTCAAACTTTTTAATTGAAAATTGGGTCGTAAATCTTTTTTTTCTTTCAGTCCTTGGTGTTCAGCAATCTGTGCCGATAATAATGGGTGCTAACATCGGAACTTCAGTAACCAACACTATTGTCGCAATGGGACAGGTAGGCGAACGTGACCAATTTCGACGAGCATTTGCTGGGGCTACTGTCCACGATTGTTTCAACTGGCTTTCTGTGATTATACTTCTACCGCTGGAGGTCGCCACCTCATACCTCTACAGACTCACAGGAGCTATCGTTGGTACAACGACTGCTGACGCTAACGAAGAGTTGTCCGTTGATTTTTTGAAAGTGATTACCAAACCACTCACAAATTTAATTATACAGGTAGGTTTGATGTTATTTATTCGAGCGATGTTGATTCATGTGTACTTTAAACGTGGACAAATGCGCTCCCTCGTGCGTTAGTTACTGAAATTGTATTCGTCGGCGAGGACAGCAGCTGACACCAATCACGTTTTATTCAGCCGTCATATCTTTTTGTCTACCCACCTGTCGATTAGACGAGATTACTCTTTGCTTTAGTGTTCAGAGAATCGTGAAGGTACAATAGGCTACAAATCTGTGTGGTGTTTCCATGAATTTTAAAGGGGAATTTAGCTAGAAAGCAATTTCTTATTTTAAAAGAACATTTTAACTTTAAAATATTCGTAAAACCGTAAAGATTGTAGTCTATGGAAATATAATTAGGTGGTAAGGGACTTGTGTTCCACATTGAAATACAGTCGGATGATTCAGTAGTAGACATATTACGTGATTTGGGGAATAATTACTAAATTATGTTTCATTGTTGATTATGTCATTTTGCTGCTACGCTCAAACAAGCTATATACTCGAAGAAATAATCTTATCTTTTACGAACACATAAATACATATTTCTCTAATCTAACAGCTGGACAAGAAACTGATTAACGACATCGCGTTAGGAGTAGTAGAATCCGAAGACGTCAGTCTAGTTAAAAGATGGTGTGAAACAGAGGACTTGTATATTAATGTGACCAGAACGGTAAACGGAAGTGTCGTCACGGAAGAAATAACAAATGGAACAATTTACGTTGAAAGATGTAAGTGTGTATCATAAGCACACCTAATATTGGACTTTGATACACCCGGCAAACTGTTGTTCCAATTATGACTCCTGCTCCTAAATATTCACAGCAATATGTCCAATTGATACTAATTATACGTTAATTTGTGTTTCTCTGTATTATAAAACATTCTCTGATAATTATCTCAAATTGATTTCTTTTATATCGTTGGTAATGCATCTCTTTTAATTGTGAATGTATTTATACTTTTGTTTTTAGGTGTCCATATATTCGCCAAGACGACGCTAAACGATGCGGTTATCGGTGCTATTCTACTCATTGTATCGTTGTCCTTCATGATGGCATGTCTTGTCCTACTCGTCAAACTACTCCAGTCGATGTTAAAAGGAAATATCGCGAAATTGACGAAGAAAGTGATCAATGCTAATTTTCCCGGTAAACTTTCATTTCTAACGGGCTACTTTGCAATCCTGGTAGGAGCTGGACTAACCATGTTACTGCAGAGCAGTTCAGTCTTCACGTCGACTTTGACGCCTCTGGTCGGAGTTGGGGTGGTGACGCTTGAAAGGACGTACCCGCTGACGCTTGGTGCAAACATCGGTACTACCATAACAGGGCTATTAGCGGCATTGGCGAGCGCGGATTCCAAGGATTTCCAGGACGGTCTACAAATCGCTCTGTGTCATTTTTTCTTCAATATATCGGGTATAATCCTGTGGTACCCAGTTCCGCTTTGCCGGAGAATTCCGATAAAATTGGCGAAAATGCTCGGAAACACTACGGCAAAATATAGATGGTTTGCTAGTTTGTACATTTTGTTGGTTTTCTTCCTATTACCCGGTGTCGTGTTTGCATTGTCGGTGGCAGGATGGCAATATTTAGTAGCATTTGGAGTTCCATTTCTAGCTTTACTGGTGTTTGTCATCACCGTTAACGTCCTCCAAAGTAAAAAGCCGAACTGTCTACCAAGAATTCTGCGTAATTGGGATTTTTTACCATTGTGTCTTCATTCACTGGAACCACTAGATCGTCTTATTTCCAAACTGCGACACATGTGTAATTGCTTCAGTTGTCGACATAGTACGTGATTAAGTATAAGTTTTAGTATGTTAGTTTAGTTATATGTTTTCCAATTAAATCAAAGCTGTTTCTTCAGTGTGTATTCTTCTTCGGAGTTATTGTCTTATTAATTGTTACTAGTACATTTCTTTACGTGCAAATAAAATTTCTAGACGTAACTTTGTATCATACATCAGTCTGTCGTTGTATGCGTGTGTGCCAGTGTCGGTGTCAAAATACGTTTTTAGAACTCCTGGTAGCTTCATTCTGCACCGTATAATTTATAGAAAAGAAGAATAATGACTCATCGCCAATCAGATGATGCGGTTATTATTTGCAAGCTGGTAATAGTCGTCTTAGTTGAGCACAAGAGTTCAGTCTAGTAAAAGTGCCAATTGTTTAGCCAAAAGCAAAAGTCCAATCAACGTCCCTGCGAAGCACTCCGACTCAAAGCCAAGGTGACCCAAATTGATGCGACTTGACGATAAGCCGAAAACAGCTTCCCGTATTTAATTCGTATCGACTTTTTCGTGCAATTCTTTTCAATCAGGTCGACACCATTAAATGTGTAGTTTTACGTAGTGAGCTCAAGTATTACATATGTTAGTAGAAATTGACCTTACTTTGTCCAGCCCCACGTATCACCCACGTGGACACCGTTTAGTTTTATTACCTAGTAATTATTTTTATTGAAATTGTCGCGTACATGTGGACCACGTTTGGAGAGCATGTGCTCTACACATGACGAGTGGTAGGAATGTGTTATCCGTCATTTCGATTAGATTCAAATTAATAAACCACTTAAACCACCATAAATAGACATGTAAACATGCTTTCGTTTGATGTAAATTCCAAAGTTACTTTTAACGTTACCGTAAATGAGATGTGAACTTGAGAGGACTGTAAATTCTCCTTCGACGACTAAAAAAATAAATAGGTGGTTCGAACCCAACTTTCTATCGTGGTAGCTGCTGTTACGAGCGGGTTCCCGATGTTGCAATAACTTTCTGGTTCCTATTGTTACAGTAACGGAAATACTATGAGACGCAAATAACTAACACAGGCACGATATTCAGTTGTGTGCATTGTATATTATGCAAAATACAACTGACAACTTCGACTAGTACATATTTGTTTAATAACAGTACTAGTAGTACAGAGTTTGCGGTCAAAATGAATACCTGCTATAAATACCGTGGTATTTGAATAGCAGTGACATAGGCGCAAAGTCCATGGAGACGTTGAAACAGAGGCGGAGCTGATCCGTGATTCGCCGTATTAGCTGCCAGCCAGGTCCCCTCCTTTAAAACGGGGTCAACCAGAGTTCCATAAGTCAGCTTACTCGGTGAGTGTTCCTGTTCAAGTGATGAAGACTTCGAAATCCGACACTGGGCACTATGTATGTGGTTTTACTTTCTTGGGAATTTCTCAGACCATGTTTCCACCGTCCACTGAACCCCATACCGGTGACAATCATCAAAGGTGCCGCAAACCTAACGGTGCCGAAGGTTGAGCGGTTCGCCAGACGCCCGCGAGGCTGAATAAAACTAGCGCAGCGGCAAGATACTGGAACAGATTCTACATAGCACTGCTCAATCTTAGCCATTTTATTAGCCGAGCTGCAAGGTATAAGATACAAGATACAGGCTCACAAGACATGTCAAGTTACGTAGCTTTACAATGCCGTTTTTTTTGTGCACTCTGTGTAATATAAATGTGATGATCAGATCAGAAACAAATGACTCGGATATACACGACACACCTGATAAAATGCATGTGTAATATCACGGGCCACTCCTTGCATATTCTTGTCGGTCGCCTGCTTAGATCATTTGGTCGAGTACCTATTACACAGGTAAGCTGATCGGAAGAAATGTGATTCGTGTTCTAGGTGTGGCTACTAGAAAAAAAAGCGTGCTTGAGCCTGAAAATACCTGATTAAACTGTAAACGCGGACAGTGCCAGTGTGTATCAACGCAAAAAAAAAAACGCTATTCAATTTTACTAGTGAACACGAAGAAACTGGCCAATTCTGGATAGTACTTTCGTTATCTGATAAAGAAGGCATGGTTAGAATAACAGCAACAAGACAAAGAGTGGTATCCAAACAAACTGATGATATCATTTTATTATATGTACGGGTCATTGGTCCATTGTCTTTCTTTCTACAAAAGCAGTTACATGACACACGCACCCGTACGCTGTGAAAGCACGGAACCCGCAATTGGACAGCAGAAAAAGCAACTTAAACTCACCAATTCACTGTACTGCTTCATTTGAGTCACTTATATTCAGTCGCTATCGTCAATGAACCGTTGATTGGGCGATGCATGCAGTGTATTCATACTGAAACAATTAATAATATATTTACGGATACTTTTGTTTTTGGGACGTTTTGTCCGGACACAACATTTAGTGAATTCCTCCTGATCTAGTGAGAATCTTCATTTATAAACAAGTATTAAATTATTAATCTTATAAAATATGAAAAACAAATATTCCAAATTTCAAGAGAATACAACACACAATAAAACCTGCACCCTGAATATAGTGTCTTCACCTAAAGCTATTAACACACAAGTGCATACTTCGTAAAACAATTTTGACATTGACATTGACCTTCAGCTTGAGCGAATACAATACAATGAAGGTGGCAAAAAGAATGAGAATTGTCGAACTGAGAGGGCGTTCCTCTCAAAAATGTCTAACCAACTAATTTCTACAGTATATCACCAAAGCTGGTCGTATATGTCAATATAACGTTTACAATGTGTAAAGCTACACCCGATATATAGTCTGTAACCATTTATGAAATTAACATGATGAAATTAACAAATTATTAACATAATGGAAGCATTGGAGTTTTTATGAATGACCCTCAGTGTAGAATGGATGTATTTAAAACCGCAGGTCCTATACTCAAGCTAGCCGTTTCCATCCGAATTTTCTTGTTTATTCCTAGCTGACTGCTTCGCTCTGATCGTAAATGCAGACTTTGTGACAGTTAACATGTCTTTTATATCATCAAATGAATCGCCCTTAGTAAAATCCATATCACATGTTGTAGCGTGTACTATGAATCATCAAATGCGTTCACCATGATGATTAATACCAAATACCCCCCCCCCCAAAAAAAAACTTCTTTATCCAGGAGATGAAAGTTACTAAAACGGTTCTATACAGATTTTGAAAGATATCAATCAGAAATGTTTAGGCTAGACTTTTTTTTATTCCTTGTTTCTCGAGTTTTTATAAGTCAATATTTTTTGAGGAGGGCGGATAAAAATATAATTAATTCTTTTTTCTATTAGATTTGTGTGATTCTCAAAGAATTGTAAGTGAGATCATTGATCGGAGAGAAGAAATGAAATAAAATGTTATTCCATGTATAACCTGATTGGAAATGTCGCCAATTGTGGCACAATTTTCGGAATTAATGAGTTATTTCTCGGTTTTTGACGACAAGTTTCACGGCGTTTCACCACAAATCACGCCGCCGCCATGTTCGCCTAGTATTCTCAAGCAGCACGCAAAGATTCACTGTCAACCAACGCGCATAAAGTATAGAGCTGCGCGAGACTTCGGTACTTTGATCATGATACTCCCACGAAAATGCAATTTGTATATGTTAGGCGGCGGGCGGAAATAAAATGAAGATAAAAAATATTTTTTTTAGCAATTTTTTTCACTCACAAGTCGGCGGGCGCGAGAAATTACGCTGAAATAAAATTTTATTTTTACTTCATTTTCAGCTCCTGTTCATTCGGCGAGTTCGCGAAACGAGAGATAATAAAAGTCTGGCCTTATCTTGAGGAGTGAACGGCAAAAAGAGCCAGCCTGTAGCTACGTATCTTTTGGTTTTTGAAAAACAAACCCGCGTAAATTGCCATAAACCTTTTTAATCAGATTCCTACATTCACATTACGCTTTGCTGGAAAATTGTACAGATTTGTAGTAAGCTTGATTAAAAAGTTAGTTACCAAGGCTGTGCTGGACAGTGGTATAGCCATGTGCTTGTGCTATACACCAAAGTGTGGCCGAGATTGCATTTTACGCGCGCAAACAACCGCAACATGTTTACCCAGAATGTCCGATGACATTCATAAACCCGGAACAGAAATATGACTGACAAATAAAAAGAGAAGTTTTCTACTGTTTAGAAAAGCATTTGTACACTGTAATCAGGTTCTTACTGTTCATGGAAGTATCTCGAAATGAATGTAATAGTTGATTGATGTAGAAATGATAATGTCTGTTAGACATTACTAACATCAAATTCCCTCAAGAAACATTTCAACGCGCACTATGCACCTTAGAATACATGCAGCTGAATACGGGATATATTCAACTTATATATAACACGGCTATTAATTCATAGGTTGAAAAAATGTGATTTATTTTTCAATGACAGCGTTGTTTATAATGTCATCAATTCAAATACAACCGATTCCATGTGTTTCAATTACGCCACTTCACGTACCGATCTTTCTTCAATACACGTCATTTGCGTCAAAGGTATGTCGTCATTGTTTATTGAGCAGCTCGGCCAAGCTTTCATGAAAGGAGACGCACTCTTTGGCTAAAACTTATCATATATATTTCTCCAGCAACAGTCTCAAATCGCCAAATTGAAACATCTCAAAGACTCACCCAGTATTTGACAAATAGCGCATGCTCCGTTTCTGATGAAGTGAACTTGACGATACATGGATACCAATTATCTTTTGGAGTGGGATATCTCCTAGTGCATGCCATGCCATGTCCACGTGGACGATTGGATGTACCACGTGTTTAGCATAGAGGTTGGCATTGACATTGATTTGACATTGGGTCAAAGAAAGATAACAAATTGTTAATTCGTAGTTCACGCCAGAACCCGAAAGGTGTGTGCCGAATGGAATTATGTTGATGGTGTCTAACTTAGAATTGGTTTTCTGAAAAGCTTTAACTGTTGTCTTGAACGTTTTTGAGCGGCAGTGTCCCAAACGCGGAGTGTAGCCGCGCAGTCCGTAACAAAACTGGTAAGACGTCATAGATAAAGTGTACCGACGACCCCGCGTCATATGTTGTCAAATTTTACCAGGTAATATAGCCTTTCTTTCAGAATTCACGTAAAATCGTATGCACCCGTTTCTACGCTCACACAGTTGTTGAACGTATGAGTCGGAGTTCGCTCGGCAACATCATGATTACGGCCTGGCGTATGCACACGACATTTTTAAATCAAGTCGATAAGTTTCAGAGTGACGTAGTTATACACGTGCTGAATTCAATTGAAAACTAATCCATTAAAACCGCGTATTTAATTGTATAAAGCATAACGGTGAAGCTATTATTGGGAAAGTACTGAAACAAGACCCAACTCCATCTATATGACCTCAGTCACTGTTTTATTTTGATTAATCTTTTATTTTGTAGTAAAAAAACGCAAATTAAAATTTCAGCATGCTAAAACACGATTGGTAGTTTAACTAAAGACACGCCTATTGGAACTAGAATGTGAATTGAACGATGCGTTTAAATATTCCGACGACAAAGTTGCACCACATACATACACAACCCAAGAAAATATCAATTACAGTTCACGATGGGCGAATCTATTAGTGGAATTAGAACGGATACATCGTATTTTAGAATTACGAGTCACGAAACAGCTCGGAATTAACAATTAAAAAGACAATTTCTTCGTTACTCGATGCAAGTATGCGATTATAATGTTATGTCTTTATTTGTCTAATCTCAAACAAAACTATTCTACGCCACAGTGTATATGAACACTGCTTTTGTGCGAATTTGATACAGAATATTTTTAAAAAAAACGGGTTAACTTAACTACTGAAAAATATGTAACAAGGCGGTCGTAGGATTGTTGCACGTGCACGTTGCGCGTACTTTAGTACGCGTACGCATCGCCAGACGTCGAAAGAATCATCATTCTATTGCTTTTGATGTTTGCCACAGTTGCCTGTCACGGTATAATCTAGTGTATTTTGTTGAACTTACTGCATCGAACTTTTTATGTTTGACTTATTAAACTTATCGCAAAAATGCAAAGACATAACTATTTAAAAACATAATACAATGATATGAAGTGGGTCATTTGCTTTTATATTAAGGTAGAAACACATAAATTTTAAAAAAAAACCAGAATTTATTCATTTCGCAATGAATTGTACGCCAAGGCAATATAAGATTATTGACCTAAAAACAGTTGGGAGTCACCAGCCTTTTTTTCGAGAAATTGATGATTGTATTTTTTTTTTAGTGGAAAGTCGCCATTTTGACACTATTTTAACACTTTTACCACAGGTTCCTGCAGAGATATTATGCAGTACCTTTTGTTGTCCTAAATTATTTAAAAAATCCGGGTTTGAAAAAATGTCAAAAAATGCAATTTTTCTTTAACATTGTGTTATATGGAATTGTTCTCAAAATAACAATTTTCAAGAAATATTACGACTCGTTTCTCAAAAAGCGTAACTGTAACACACAAAATAATTTTATTTTATTGTACCATGAGATATTAGCTTCATGATTGTACATTGTCATGCGATATATGACTTGGCTTACCTTACTACCTTAAACACTCATTGACGAGTAAATCCGCCTGATTGTTGTTTTAAATTATATAGCAGATCTGTTTACCCAGATCTGTTTAGCTTGTCTCAGTTAGAGAAACGCCCTATGCAATTAACTACAATCGATAAACAACAATACGTATATCCGCAAACTAAATCAAGTGGCCTATCATCCCCCACCTTTTATTGCAATATCGTAGTTTTTTGCAGGGAAGTCTGGTGGCCGAAGGAGCGGGACCGGACTCGCAGTGACGTTTAGCTAGGCAAATTGATGACGTAGACAAGCTTCGGATAGAAACACGCAGCAGTGGTGGCAGAACGTAATTTTGCATGAGGGAGCAAGATCTGAAATCTAGACCCTTCCGTCGAAACGCTATTTCCTGCATTTTGAGGGCCAAATTTTTGGCCACGATTTTGTCGTGGCAAGTCGTGCGATTTTGGGGCACGAACTCGGAAGCCCCCGCACTGTTCACGACGAGTTCACGAATAGTTCACGAATGCGTGCCCATCAGTGTCCACATTGACACGAACTGGCAAGACGAGTTCGCGCATGGTTTGCGCATAGTTTACGCACTTCCCGCATTGGTACGACGAGTTTGCGCAATTCGGAGTGAGCTATTCGTGAACTATTCGTGACAGTTCGTGACGGTCTTGGCATGGCGCGCACTACCATGCACTAGAACGCACTAGCACGCATCCTCCCGCATCCTCCCGATGAGTTCACGACGATGTCACGAACAGTTTGCACATAGTTCACGACCCATTTCAAAATTCTCGTCCCGACATGGCATGCAGTCACGACGGGTTTACGCACACTTCACGCCAGTTTACGACTAGTTTGCGTACTGGCACGACAATCTTGCAAGTGTCAGGGTGGCTTATTCGCATCAAGTTATCTAAATAAGGTACTCCATTCTAAATATCATAAACAATTTTGAGGATAAAAGTAATTGAACTTGGATCCCCACACTGTTCGTACATCTAATGTAATGTCTGACAAAGCGACAAGAAAGCTATGCTGATTGTCACGTAATTACACTGATGATTCAATTGGCAATCCGTCTTGTCTAGACACAGAAACGAAAATAACCAAGTTCGAATCGTACTAATGTTATGCGCGTGGGGCAATCTGAACTTCAGTCAAATGTCGAGCACACTTTGCAAATAAATATGAACACAATCAGTATAACCTATCAACTACCCATCACCAATGAAAATATGTGCACACACATATATGTATTTGTTTTCAGATACAACTAAGTGGGGCTGCTTTTATTCTATCAAACAGCTGTGAGAATCGACGTGTATCATAAGTCACCAGTGATGCCAACGTACAGTGTATCTTCAGCCGGACTCAAAAAGGTTAGTATTTATGCACAAATCATACCATGAATGGCATAATAATAAACATAACTACTTACCCGGTGGTTTGTATCATTGAGGTTACAAATTAAATCAGTTCGTCAAAACATTGTGATAACATTTATCTTCATAAACAAGAACATTTTCACTGAATAACATTTTAAATTTCATTTTGTTTTGATTTTCTGATCAGCGTCGCGTTAATACTAATTGACTGAGTTTTGAATGTTACCTAACGTTTTGAAGAAAAAAAAAATAAGATTTGGGATGAATTCGTATTTCATCATAAACAAATGGTGCAGTTGTAATGCCATCGATATTCATAACTTTCTGCATGACTTGTTAAACAGTTTACAACAGACTAAGGAATATAAATATAAAATTGATTTTTGCATAACAGTGTTTTATCATGACTGTGTTTTCAATGGGATTGAAAGTGAGTTCTGAAAAATGAGTTCTATACACTCCATTATCAGGCCCTTATTGTGGTTCTGAATACTCAGTAAACAAACAAATTAAAAAGTAGAATACTGACTTGCCACTAAGGGAGTTTAAGTTTTACACATTTACGAACTGTTTGTAGGGCAGTACCTTCACGACCGTGACGTCATTCACATTCTTTATTTTCTCAAATAAAGTAAGTAACCTCTGATTCATTCAACTAATTGCAAAAACGTTAAACTTATTGTCTAAACATATCGTCAAATTCTGACGCAGACGGGAAAGCACCACTTTCCGTGCCGCCCATAATTTACGTGCATATACGCGACATGCCACTGTTGTAAGATTATATGAATGTGAGAGAGAAGTGCCGGTTCTTTTCAATCTGTGAGTTAGGTAAATGACCTTTTTCTTTTTCACATTGTCGCCGAAATAGGGCAGGTCGGAGTTTGATACCATGAACGACCACCTTGTAAAAGATGATAGCAGTAATTCCTTGTATCTCATGAGTGGATTGCAGTCTACAAAGACGGGTGATGATGGTTCAACAGATGGTCATTGTGGGGGTTCAGATGAGAGTAACACAACATGCAGCGATGATGTATCGCAAGATTCTACATGCGATGACGACATGCCTAAAAACGGCACGGAAGAAAAAGCCCAGGAAGATGAGACAAAAACTGAAGAAGAATTTGACCCATGGTCCTTAGTTTCGGAGATTGCATCCACCCAGCCTAAATGGTCCGGTGAGTTTCAATAAAATAAACATGTCGTAACGAGATTATTGGTCCTGTATGTAGCTACTGAGTCAGGGGTCAGCCATGTTCAGCAGCAAATAACAACCTCCCTTAACACAATAAATGTATTCAAATATTACAAATACATCAACGAAACGGAACACCTTCATGCCATTAGTTAGAACAACAGATTAGATTAGCATATTTGAACGAGGTCACTAGACATGACCTCCGATTAGTTTATTCAAGTTGGTAAATTAGTAATGTTGTGCTGTTATTGTGCTTCCCGGGGATGTCGCCTATCAACAACCGCCCAACGTTATTTTGAATAATATCAATGTTGACATCAAATATATATTTTTAATTTACCCCCTATTTACAATTTAATTCCTCTGGTGCATAATAGTTGTTTTTATACCGTTTCAGAGTTAACGACAAGTGGGAAGGTGAAACGTGTTCTGATTGGATGGATATTGAAGCCAATCCTGATATTCTTTTTTCTCTACTTCTTCATCGTCGCCCTGGCCTTGATGGGTGACGCCTTCACGCTGATTGGTGGATCGGCAGCTGGCGCGGCTCTGTCGGACAGTACATTATTGGACAACCCAATCACGGGATTAATGATTGGCATGTTGGTTACGGTGCTACTCCAGAGTTCAAGCGCTACAACGTCCATTATTGTTTCCATGGTAGCAGCCGATTGTGAGTAGCACACTTGTTTCCTCTCATTCAATACCGTAATGTTTGGTCTGATAATCTTTCATTTCTTAGAAATCTGAAAAGTTGGAAATGCAAAAATTCAGACGTGAGAGTTTGTATGATAAAAACAGGAGTTGTGAAGAAAATTGCGTAAATTACAGTTATTTTTCTCCCATAGTGATCCAAGTCGAGCAGGCCATTCCAATGGTAATGGGAGCCAATCTTGGCACATCGGTTACCAACACAATCGTTGCCGGGGGACAGGCTGGAGATCGAGACACATTCAGGTTATCCTTCGCAGGGGCCACCGTCCACGACTGTTTTAACTGGCTGGCAGTTCTCGTATTGCTTCCGTTTGAGCTATTGACAGGTTATCTTTATCATCTAACAACAGCTATCGTTGAAGGTTCTGACCTCAATTCGTTTGGGTCTGACGACAAGGTCAAAATTACCGATCCAATTGTGGATAAGATTATCCAGGTATATGAGAATATTTTTCAATTTCAGTCTTTGGAGACAAACACTAACTAATAACTAATATTAATGCGTCTTTGTTCTGCTGGTTCCCATATAAACTGTCACAGAACAAGCCTGTGTATAGTAATACCATGTCAAGAATCCCAAGGCTTGTCTCTGACGCCATCCGTACATATTAATGTGTTCTCCATGTCATACTTTAGATCGTTTAAACAGTTTTCGAAGAGATGCTTTGAGATAACTAAAACTCGTTGAAGATATTTTTTGAGAAAAAAAAAAGATCGGACTTGAGAAGATGAGCCATGCTCAAAAACAGAATATTCCGCATCTTAGTATTCTGAATTGTCGAAAAGCGCTAAATATGTCTTAATCATAGAATGTGATTTATGTATACTTTGGCACGCGAGGTTATTGATGTAGTTCTTAAAAACCATTACCCGGGAAAAAATATTACTGAGTCATTTTCTCATTCGCAAATTAGATCAACATGGACGTTTTAGAAGGAATCGCTTTAGGAGAACTAGAACCCGGCGAAAAAAGCTTGGTAGATAGATGGTGTGAATGGGAAGACGTGTACTACAACGAAACCTCTTTCTATTCGGTCAATGGCACAAATTACACAGAGGTGGACGAAGTTTATAACTATACCGTATACATTGAGAGATGTGAGTTTTTTAATTTAATTGATTATATTTTTGGATTATAATATATCAGTTTATTGTTCCGACAAGCATACAGACTAAAATAATAAGATATGACTTTTCCTTTCTGTCTTAGGTGACTTCCTGTTTGCCCACTGCGACCTGGCTGATGAGGTTATTGGGCTTATTCTCTTGGTTGTGTCGCTGGCGCTTCTAATGGGATGTCTGATCGGCATCGTGAAAGTGCTAGGATCAATGCTGCGTGGCAGCGCCGCCAACGCCACTAAGAAGTTTTTGAATGCCAATTTCCCAGGATACCTTTCGTGGTTGACCGGATACATCGCCATATTGATTGGCGCTTTTTTCACAATGTTACTGCAGAGCAGTTCTGTTTTCACGTCCATGTTGACTCCGCTTGTTGGAATGCGCGTTATCACACTGGCCAGAATGTATCCCTTAACTCTAGGAGCGAATATCGGGACAACATTCACCAGCTTACTCGCGGCATTTGCAAGCTCCGATTCACAAGATTTCGAAGAAGGTGTCCAAATATCACTATGCCACTTATTCTTCAATTTAACTGCAATAGCGATTTTTTATCCTATTCCTTTTATGCGCCGGCCTCCCATCGGAGGTGCCAAGTTTCTGGGTAATACGACGGCCGTGTACAGGTGGTTTTCTTTAGCATACCTGCTAATTGTATTCTTCTTAATACCAGTTATAGTGTTGATGCTTTCAATAGCTGGTTCTATATATCTTGGCATTTTCCTCATCATATTTGGATCAATTACACTGATTGTCATTATTATCAAGATCCTACAGGCCAAATTCCCCAGATGTCTACCTAAGTTTATGCGTACATGGGACTTTTTACCCAAATGTTTGCGTTCTTTAGAACCATACGATACTCTGATCAAGCATTGCATGGTAGGATGTGGTAGATGCAAAGAGAAATGTAAGTGTGGGAAAGACAGTTCGGAGGATAGCAACTGTGGTGAAACAGATGACATAGACATGAAAGTGGTGGTCACGAAATCGAATGGCGACGTTGAACTTGGAGTAGATAATCCTACTTTGGAAGTCGATGATGAGCCTGAAAGGCATACCACGGGTAATGGTGTAATGGTGAAGACAGAATAGATTATATAAAAAGGGACATATTTACAATGCAAAGATAAAGCAATTGTGTACACAGTTGTATAGTTGTACAAAAAAAAGGAAATTTGAAAAGGAAATTATTTTTCGAGGTAATACGGCATTATTTTTGAAATCTAGGTTACCTCAATTATCTTAGCTAACTGAGTTATTGAGGATGTTTTCCAGGATCAAAGCTCACGTGAAAATACGTTCACTTAGTAGAAGTAGTAGTAGTGCCATTCAGTGCAATTACTAGTCTAAAAATAGCACTGTTTTTCTAATTGTGGATCATTTTGTAGCTATGCAGTGCAAGATCACAATGTTATTTATTGATTCTTGAATCTATACTTTGAGAATAATTATCTATTATGTACATAAAGGGTTTAGTATTTTCAGCGTGACAATGAATATGATCGAACGAATAACATATAGATAATGTTGGTGTACATATTTGAGTTACATGGATGATTTTATTCGTCTCTTTCAGCCATTTGACAAGTTTTTCCGAAATCCCTTCCTTCTTGAATAATGAATTGCCTGCTATACATAACATTGTAGAGATTTGTGTATTTTAGCGCTAATATTTCTTCGGGAAAGATGCATATATTTGTACAATAAGACAATGTGCGAAGTAGTGATATTGTTAGAAAACCTGAGGTCGTGGATCGTCGTATCGATCATACAGTATATCATAATTGCACCATAATAAATACTGCCACCTGAATTTTGACATCAGCAATTATTTCAACAAAACTTTCTTGATGCTGACATGATGCTCGTAAGGTGAAATAATAATAAATATGACCTACATGTACGAATCTATTATTAGGGAGACTTTTGCAGCTGCGGTATCGGCCACCCAAAGACACTTTGTAACATTGTATCAGTTGAAATTAGACAGGTACTTTGACATGTGTGAGTGTGTAATGAAATCGTCTGTTGAAATGGTAGCTATGAAACTTGCATTTACTAACACAATACCGTTGCCATGATACATATAAATTGTAAGTGATTGATTGATTGATTTTCAATAAATTATATCATACATAGTTTGCAGCAGTGCCAGTATGTACAGTTGAAGTTATATCGTAGCTAATTTATATCAAGTATTACTTCTCAAAAGTTATTTTCTTGAGCAGAAACACCGTAGATTGGAACCAAAGATTTCCAGAACAACGAGCTGTGTGGATGCATGGTCTCTCTACTGAATGAGCTGAGCAGGAGAGTTGTGGGTGAGTGCATCACGTGCTGTACTGTTACACTTACGTATCAGGTGCGATGTTTATATCTATTGTCCTTATTTTAAAAAGTGGTTACGCAACAACACGCAAGCAACGACAGGGCTGCAGAAAAAAATCGTACGGAATAACTTCGTCGCTATAATTGTTAATTAACATTCCGTTAATAAACAATGGCGACCCCTTAGAGTACTCTACTACCAGTTAGCACCTGTTTTGATCGACAATTAATTACATCACAGTATTCCCATTTTTGTAAATTCGATTTACTTAATTATTTATTTTTAATTATATATTATTATACGGATATATTTAAACTGAAGTCGTTAGGCTGAAGTGTTACATATAGAGCTTGTATGGCATATACACCCTGAATGATAGATACATATAAGAGTTCTACTGCTATCACCTTACCAGTGAGCGTTAATATAAAGAAGGGATAAAAAACAAATTCAGGGTGATATGTCTTAAAGTAGTGTATCAATTTATGCCCGAGTGTCCGACTACACATTAACCATTAATTCGCAAAAAAAAAAAAACTAAAAAAACAGCTAGTTTAGTCAGCAGAAATGTTATTAAAATCATTAAGCTTAGTCTAAACATGTACATATTTTACACATTCCTACAGCGACGGTTTTCTCAATACAGACCTGTATGCACATGGATCGACGGTTTTATCAAATATAAACATTAGATCCGAAGTGAGCCATGACAGTTTACCGTAGATTAAACTAAAATTCCGAGCAGAAAATCTACAATTTAATATTTGAAAATTTCTTTGAACTAAACGAGACAACACTAAGATAAAGACTTTTCGTTTTCGACATTGTGAAATTCTTTCGTTTTTTGGGAGAAAACCCCTGAAAAAATGATTTTGACAAGATAATTTAGAAATTTATTTTAAGAATAATTTATGAAACATATTCCCTACGCACCCATAAATTATTTTCATATAATTACCGAATACAAAAGTATATTACAGAAAAAAGATTATTTATTATAAATTTATATTCTCTATATTTTTTTGCTTTTATTTGTCTTGAATTATGACTGAAAGAAGCTGAATGAAATGACACACTATTTAGTGTGTTCAACAACTCATGTATGAACAACAACAAAATAATAAATAGGATTATATTTGGTAAAAATAAATATTTTTTTTTTCTACATAAAAACGCAAGAATTTCACAATGTCGAAAACGAAAAGTCTTCAATCGCAGTGTTGAGACCCTGTCCATTACACAGTGTGCTCTAGTTTACCATAGTGAATGCAATTTCTGGTAACCTCTACATACCGTGATTATTTGACGTGAAAATGTGGCGCTGCTAAGTGGTACCTGAAAGATTCCCTTGTCCCAGTTACAGTGCCACGAATTGCCGGGCGGAATCCCTAGTTAATATCACGATCGTTCAGATTCCATGACACAGCTGGGTCACTGTTGTGAGATCTGTTTTGATTATAACAGGTCGTCGTCGTAATATACTGAAAATACTGTAAACATACAATGTGTCATTATCATTTCAGACACGTGACTTTATAAACGTATATGACTTAAAACTGTGTTTAGTGATTATATATATTTCAGGGACCATGCAGCGCCACCAACGCCAGTGAGAGGTTTTTGAACGCCAATTTTCCAAATTGCGTTCGGTTTTCACCTGCGAAATGCCAAATTGAATTAACCCCTTAACATTAGGAGCGAACATAGAAACCACTTTCACTAGCCTATTAGCAGCACTTGCGAGCTCTGACTCAAGAAACTTGAGGACATCGCGCAGGAAGTACTCTGTTATCTTTTCTTTGAAATTGACCGCTATAATAGTAACGGGAAAACATAGACGAGCGAAATTTGGAGAATATCATATTAGATCGATTTACTGTTACGTACTAATAATTAAAAGTACATGCGCAGTTACTCACGCAGTCAAAAATGCAACTATTTTGGCCCCCTCAAAATCGAATCGGGTATCACACAAATAAGATCTTTCAGATTAATTATTTATAATAATTATAATTACAACTCAAAAATAATTACATTTACTTTGAAATCACCGAACGCGTGTTTTATGATACTATCTACTGAAATTGACCTTACTTGTTAGACGTGTTAACTTTAACCCTTGTCCTGCATCGAATACTTACAAGTATAGCACAATACGTCAACAAGTTTACATTAGATTATGACATAGATTATGCCGCTGCTATGGTAACATATAGTACTATTAATAATTATCAAACAGTATCTGTCTTTGTGTACACTACAGGTTCGGGTTCAGGTCATCTATTAATAGGAAACATTGACGTTTGTTGTTTAATCTGTGATAAACTGGATACACAAGAAACTCGCACGTGTACATTGCATTATCGACATGCACAAAACTGTTCGTTTTTGTACAGCCGCGTTTTCGTTGTGAAAATAGTACCTGTGAATTTCGGTATTTTTTTTTAATTTTCCTAGTTGTTTGGAGATGAGTTAAATTAAATTAAATCAGTTTGATTGTTGTTTGTTGTTGTGTTTTGTTTATTTATTTATGCCAAAAGGTTTGATAGTCGTGATAGTTTTTGATTGATTCAGAAGAATCAATTTATTATTACAATAAACAACTTGCGAAAAGAAAAACTATTTCATTAGTAGATGCCACAAAATAACTTCGTCTTTATATTCAAAACAGCTTCAAACAGCGCCATCACGGTGTATAATTTAATTACGTATACATTACTCGCAATCGACATAATACCACGTCGGCAACTAATTTAATTACATCATGCGTAATCTACATAATAACACACGAGCTACTAATTTAATTACATTGCACGTAATCGACATTATAATACGTGAAATGACACATGAACCTGGGCGCCAACATTATTTGAGCTTCTGGTGATCACGTGTATGAAATTTATTCTTGTAGCTATAGTACAACCAGTACTTGCTATTGGTTCGTTCACATTATGGAAAGCTGCTCGTGCAAGCGTTTCAGCTCGTGAACGCACGACGTATAATTTTAAAAGTTCAATATCGGCGGGTTAGAAAAATATAGGATGGATCCTCTTATCAAAGAATATTTTCTGGTTTTATTTTTGACATCGTCGTCCCAGCAAACCAAAGTTGCAAATAAAATATTGGTCACAGAAATAATGTGTTGAAGTAATTCTCAGAAAAAAAATGGAATGGAATTTGCTTTGAAGTAAAATCACGCCCTCTGTAACGTTAACAACTATATTTAAAAAAACATTAAAGTTGATGTTTTCATTTTCCATGCCACCCAGAACAATATATTTTGAAAAAAAAATAATGACCAAAACATGTTATTGCTGTGCCACAGTTTCGTTTCGTTTCAGACTTTGCATTTCTTAGCTAATATTATTGTAATGTGCTTTCAGCTTAATTCTAATTCAAAAAGCAAACTTTTTTTTTCTCGTACAAGAGACAATTTTAATTCACGTCTGTATTATTTTTATCGTGAAGGCGTCGTCTAATATTTATTTTTTTTTCTCTTTACTCAGATTTTCTTCCAAAATCCTCAAAGCCTTTCTCGCATAGGGCTCCAGGCTTTAAAAGAACGAAAGCACAAATAGAGGGCGCAAGACAGGCCGGGTACAGTCAATGTGTTTGTAAAACACAATGACCGCACTATCAAGTTTATTGTTTAGTCACTTATGTTAATGAGACATTACCAACATATGGAAATGATCATGAACTCATTTCGTATCTATGGTCTTTAATCACAAAAAAAAATCCAATATAATCACAACAAACTCCATAATAATACCATAAGCCAGAATATTACCGTTATTGAAAAATATAACTGGAAATGAAAAAAAAAACGTGGATGCCTCGTGTTATTTGTATAAATAATCGCATAAAGGACAAAAGGTATTTATCAACATGTATATAATGATTATGTAAAACTGAAATTGTCTTGCATTATCTATGAAATGGTGTCCAGCATTCTTGAAAGTTACATTCAAAACCCAAGTCACGTCATCGACATCTTCTAGTGTTTATACTAGGTACATACAGCTGCTCCGTCGATTTAAGTTTCAACATAACGCCTGAGCCCTCAACTCTACACAACTACAGACGTTAAATAATATTTAAATATGAGTTAGCTAAGTGTGATTACGTTTTGGTTGCATTTGACTGCCCTGTGCATTGGTCAATTTTTTTGTTACAGACATTGATGTTGATTTTTTCCTTTACTGGATTTTTACATGAAAAATATAAATCCAGGCGTGACGTATATTTGTGCAACGAAAACCCATAATCGATGTTTACACAATGCGACACAACGTGATTATCGTTTCACCATGGCCATAAAATGTGCTATTCTGTCGTCAACCAAGCGCGGTCGAGCACAGCACTTATAAAACTTAGCCAAGGCTCTTCTCGCAACCGCCACTGGATGTTTCTCGGACATTGAGTAAGTGGCAAACTCACCCAACGGGACCACCCTTACGTGGTCCACCCCGGCCCAGCTAGGATTTGGAGTTCGATGCATTACGCCGCCAGTGATCAACTGAAGGACAACGTGACCGGGATCTGTGGTCATCTTCTTATCATGATTGCATCAGGGCCATATAATCTTTATGTCGCTATGACGACGTCGTGGAAATCCCCTATAGTAAACACCTCATATATATATACAGACAACAGTTCTTAAGGTAGCGAGACTATTATTTGTGTTGAAAATTACGATTTTCACATTTATTTATTAATTGCTGAAATGCACTATAAACTTTCATGTGATAAAGTCAACATAACATAGAATGTCATGTAAGTTGGTTAAAATGTAGATTTTCTGAAGGGAAGCAGGGCAGCCTCAGTAGTGTTTTGCCAAAATCAACAACACAGGTTTAATCTGTGTGCCTATAAGTTTCAAAGATAAACTCAAGACAAAG